TGGATTCGCCATGATTGGAGGACTTTTGTGGGCCTTAGGCGAGCATACCTCCTTATGCTTGGTTACTGAAAGTTGCAAGAATTAATCTTCTGCAGCCAATGCCTTTTCTGTACAAATAATGAATCGCATCGGTATGGGACTTGGAAATCTTTTATGGAACAGCTTTTCGTGTCTGTCTGGCTGGGCAACGTCGAGGTGATTTACAATTTTCGTACTTTAATAAATGCGATCAGTCAGAGTGTTGGAGTCAGGTTCGGTATGTTCGGACTCGCTAAAGCTGTTCCCGCTAGTATAGGCTTCAACTACATAGGAATCGTCATTTTGATTATAGGGTAAGTAAGTGAAAAAGAATGACTTTCAGGATTATCTGTAGATAGTTTATGCTAGAAAACTTCAGTTTATACAGCTGCTTAGCTTCCAAAAACATGAATCCGCATTTTAGGGCACTGATGTACTCACTCGTAAAGAACACTCCTCAAAAACAACCTGGACAAGATGAAGCTAAAGAAAATGAGGAGGTGCGTTGAATACCGCAAAAACTTGGCCAAGCAGCGAGAACTGAGATTCGTTCCATACGAAACATGACTCAGGTGCTTCTCAGAAGTTTGTGAGTGTAGGTCATAGTCAAAGTCAAAAAGTGCGTATCCAAGATACCTGTAAGCTCACCATTTCTTGTTATCCAATGGAGTAGTTCCTGGGTGTTTACGCTGAATGTCTGTTTGTCAGTATGTACGTATGTGCGGGATAGAAAATTTTTGTTTCTGAGGACCAAACTTTGCACACATGCACTTCGGGGCGGGGCGGATATCGTAGGCTGCTATTCGTTATTTTGCAAAGTTTAGGTTAAGGGACTGGGAGGTGGCACACGGAGGGGGGTAAGTGAGCATGCTGATTACGAATATACTCCCAAAAAATGTATCGAACGTATCTTCAATGACTTCCTTATATGGAAAGCTTTCGAGAACCTTTAGGTACCATTTAGTAGAGCTGGCTTTAACTTAGATTTGTTCATTACTGTAGGGTTACGGTAGAATCTTCAAGCATATGGTGTCACCGTGCAAAAGCTGCCCTTTCAAAATTTTTTAAAAAAGTGTGAAAACTTGTGTAGTAAGGTTTTT